TGATGGAAACAGGAAAGCTCTTGTGAACTTTGATAAATTGTTGAATACAAAAATCATGATCCACTCTGTAAAGCCTCATGTAATTCACAGTGAAAGACAGAGAGAGAGAGAGAGAGAGAGAGAGAGAGAGAGACAAGAGATGTATGGGAAGGGAGATGAAGAGAGAACTGGGTTAATGGTTTATGGGGGATTTCATAGCATGGACTGTGAATTATAGTAGACCTTTCTATGTTTAGTATGTATTTTATTTCCTATCCAAGATGGTAATTTTTATGTGGATCTATGATGCAATGACTATACCCACAGTTTTCATGGGTATTTATGATTTCATAGTGTCACAAGAGAAGCATGGAGTGTTAGCTGACTTTTTCATTGTGAAAAATGTTTAAAATCCTTAGCAAATTTGCACATCCATTTGTTTTTTGCACCTCAACCAAACTATGCTGTGTGTGCATGTCGTTGTAGCTGCTGGGCAGTCCTGCCTCATCGCCACCCTGTGAAGAACAGAATGAAACACTGCCTGTCCTGAATGCACAATATCATGCAGACATTCACAATTGTGCCCACTTTTATAGGAAAGTTAGTATAAGATGTTGACAAAATGGCACCTTTCCCAGTAATACTACGCTTCGTTAAAGTGTTTAAAACAGATGTGCGTACTTATCTCAAGTTAAAAAATCGTATTGTAGTCCATAAGAACACTTGAGCATGTTTTTAGTATAAAATAAGTTTTTTATATTTTCAAGAAATATGATTAAGGATAAAAATGTTTCAGTACGATTATGAAAGCATTGAAGGGAAAATGTTGCCGCTGTTGTGAGGTGCTGCCAGACTCATTGAGGAGCTCCTGTGTCCGACAGAAGGACACGACCCCGGTCTGGCTTCATCCTCACAAATGTTCTGCTTGAGTCATTGCTGTTAGCACTATGTCCACCCGCCTCATCAAGGGCCTTCCTCTTTCTCTCCAACCCTGTGTTTACAAAGCATAATATCCTTTATTATGGGATAGTCTTCTGGATAACATGTCCATCCCAAATATGTGAGGTTAAGTCTCCTCTATCAAACATATATACATATAAATTTGTGGGAGAAAGATGAGGCTTTCTAGTCCTCTCAGAAACCCACGGGACAGGTCTGCTCTATCTTATATGGTTACTATAAGTTGGCATTGACTTGATGGCAGTGAGTTCTGGTTCTGGTTCAAATATATATTCTATATATACATATAAATATATTTGTGGGTATAGTTCTATTCACCTCATAAGTATTCAGATTGCATATCTATTAAAATACTTAGAGATCACTGTTGTTACAGGATTGTTTATATAGTAAATATGTTTACCTCTGTTGCCTTTAATGAGAAGGAAATTTCTTATTGCATCTATTTCCTTCATGGGGTTGGGGGTTTGACATTTTACTTCTTTGTGTATATCTCATCCTAAAATGTCATTGTTGTTCTAACCTTTTCCAGCCCTGTGTCTCTACAATGTGTGCGTACCAGCAAGCACCTTGAGATAATGAGTTTTTGGGCTTGAGGACTTAGGACCAGAGACTTAGGACACATTAGGTCAATTGACACAACGAAGTCCACAATTCCTCATCCTAATTTCGTGTGTACTGACTGGGATCTTAAAAACTGTGAACGGCCATCTAAGATACAACTATTGGCCTTTCCTCATCCAGAACAAAGAGAAGTTAAGGACATTAAAAACTTATGGGGAAAAATAGTAGAAAAGACTACTGGGAAACACAAACCATGTTTTCCATAGAACTGGAAGACACCCCACTACCTGAACTGACCACTCTAATCAGCCATAAGAAAAGGTTCTGGAGAGAAAGGGAGGGACAAATGTAGAACAAAATCAAAAGTCATGTACAAGGGCACATTTATTGGTCTGATAGAGACCAGTGGAACAACTTATGCTATGGATCTTAAATCCTTTCAAACCTGTAAGGAGATCCAGCTCGGGAAACAGCTTTCAGAGAAGCAAATAGACAAGCCTATAAAGAGAATAATAACACCATATGGGAATGTATCCCTCAGTATGGTCAACCACATGAATCAAAAATGCGAACATTTTTCAGAACACAAAGCAGGGAAGGTAAGAATACACAAGAAAGAGCAAGAGATCCCAGAGACGAAGTAGGAAGAGTGTTGTTACATTAAGGGAATTGCAACTACTGTCACAAGAAAAAGTATGCACAAGTTGATGAAATAAAACTAATTTTATCCAAGTGACACTCAACAGTCAAATAATGAAGATATAGGTAAGCATATACAGAAACATGAACTTAGCACAGATACTGTATGGAAATTTATTTATTAGTTCCAAACATATGTGAACACTTTACTTTGAATTTCTTAACTGAACATATAGAAAAATGATTGATGTCTTTTTCTTTTCAACAATTTTTTCACCCCAAATCTGTCTCAGGAACATGGAGTCTCAGAATGTAACGAGTGTCTCAGAATTTCTCCTCCGGGGTCTCTCTGAGGATCCAGCACTGCAGCCCCTCCTCTTTGGGCTGTTTCTCACCATGTACCTGGTCACTCTATTTGGGAATCTACTCATTATGCTGGCTGTTGGCTCCGACTCCCGCCTCCACAACCCCATGTACTTCTTCCTCTTCAACCTGTCCTTGGCTGACATTGGTTTTACCTCCACCACAGTCCCCAAGATGCTTGTCAACATCCAGACACAGAGCAAATCCATCACCTATGCTGGCTGCCTGACCCAGGTGTCCTTTTATTCCTTTTTTGGATGTATGGACAGTCTTCTCTTGACTGTGATGGCTTATGATAGGTTTGTGGCCATCTGTCACCCCCTGCACTACACAGTCATCATGAGCCCCCGCCTCTGTGGCTTACTGGTTTTGATGTCTATTTTTTTCAGCTTTTTGAACTCCCAGATGCACATTGCAATGGTGTCCCAACTTACCTTCTGCATGAATTTGGAAATTTCTCAATTCTTCTGTGATCCTCCTCAAATCCTCAATATTGCCTGCTTAGACACTTCCACCAGTACCATATTACTCTATTGTATTGGTGCCCTCTTTGGTGGTCTTCCATTCTCAGGGATCCTTTTTTCATATATACGAATTATTTCCTCCATTTTGAGAGTCCCATCATCAGACGGGAAGTATAAAGCCTTTTCTACCTGTGGCTCTCACCTGTCAGTTGTTTGCTTATTTTATGGAACAGTTACTGGAGTTTACCTCAGTTCAGCTGTTTTATCTTCTTCAAAGAAGGGGGCTATGGCCACTGTGATGTACACCGTGGTCACCCCCATGCTGAACCCCTTCATCTACAGCCTGAGGAACAGAGACATAAAGAAAGCTCTGCAGAAGCTCCTTGGCAGAACATCTTAAGATCAACACTCATGCCTTCTCTCTGTGTTTCTGGTTTGGGAAAGATGGCCAACCCAAACATATGCAATCAGAAATCTTTCCTCTTTGGGTACATCATTTTGCAGCTTTCATAGTATCCTATCTTAAGTTTTAATTTCCTTTATCATTTCTTTTATAGAATTGTTGGAAATACATGGGTAACTTCAATGAGCTTAATAAAATTCCATCAGGTTTCCTAATAAATGCACAACTTTATTTCTACACACCTAGAATCTTCATTCTATTGAAGCATCTTCATTCTGTATAATTCAATCTATTGCCCAGATTCCTTTTTGTGTTTAATGGAGCAGTAGATGCTGCTTATATGTGTGAATGAATACCAGTGGTTCCCAGTCTCAACTTCGTATTGGTATTATCTGGATAATGAAAAACAACAACAACATTGATGTCTCCTCCTATCAACACAAGTTAGATACACCTGGAGCAGCCTGTGACTTCAACGTCAGACTTTTTAAAGCACCACCTACGGTTTGAATGTGTAACCAAGGGAAGAACCATTGATCTTTATAGACCTTTCCTTCAAAAATGACTAGTTTGCTTTGAGTCTTGTACTCCTTATAAGCACAGCTGAGTATTCTAAAGCTCACAAGAGAAAACGTGAAAAAACTTATCTACTACATGCAAGGGATTTACTCCAGTGTGCCTGATAATATTTCTTCTCACATTTTTAATTTACACACATCACCGTTGTTAACTTCCCTCTACTTGCCTTCTCTCCAACTCATGGCAATCCCATGGGCAACAGAAGAAACACCACCCACTTGTTTTTTTTGCCATATCCATTACCAATCAGACCATTGTGACCCACAAGTTATCATTGGGTAATATTTGAAAGTAGTTCACCAGAACATTCTTTGTACTGTCTTAGTCTTGAAACTCTCCTGAAATCTATTCACTGTTATAGAAACATGCAAGATATACTGAAGATATATGGCAGCTTTGTCTGGATCATAATCCAGCAGGTATGCTGCTCCACCTCCTTATTCCAACCCATCAGGTAAAGAAATATCATTTTGTGGGAGTAACAAAGGTTATGGCTAGAAAAGCCATGTAAGTGATTAATTGAATGACAACGGACAATTTTGAGGTCAGCAGTTCAAAACCACCAATCACTCCACAGGTGAAAAATGAGGGTATCTGCTCTTGTAAAAATCTACAGCGTCAGAAATGCTTTATAGGCTCACAAGAATCCGGAATTGATTCCCTGGCAGTAGATTGGGTTTGGGCTGCAGTAATTATTTACACTGTCTCTTTGCTCATCTACTCCTTCCACCTTTTTCTAAGCCAGATCAACATCTAACCACAATTAACCTGGCAATTCTGTGAGGGACAATTTTTTACAAACTGCTTATCTACATTAAATAAAAAAACTGATTTTTATGAGAAAGAAAACTCGTTTTTTATCTTCAATATTCTACTTATACCGGTGGTCTAAACTGTCTATCTTACCATGTAATATTTAACCTGCACAGTAGTGATTAATTATTACTTCATTAGGAGCCTATATTTTTTCATCATTGTCATTGTCTGAGTTTTTGCAAGTAGTTAACCAGGATTTTCTTACTAGACCATCTTAGTTTGGCATCTCTCTTGCCACCTGTTTGATATTTTAGCAGCACCTAGGCCTCTCCTGACAGGTTGACCATGAGGTACATGAGTTGGGATTCAAACTGCTCTTCCACATGGAAGAGGGGAACATGGTCCATGAACCACCACTGCTTCTGCCACGTATGCTATAAGTTGGTCATATGTGCTTGTTGGTAAATTATTGTTTCATTACTCCAAATTCACCATTCTATAATCTACTCTGTGTTGGTGGGGTAAAAGAGAGGAGGGTTTTTAAACCACCATGTTCCTTTCTGGCTTTATTTTTATATCCTTCACTAGTGACAAGCACATCTTATTCAACTAGACATTTGCCTTATACCTGTTTCCTTAACTCTGGGCATGGTAACTTAGTTCCTCATGACTCTGCTTGTATTGCTGCACTGTTCCTTTTTGGCTTGTCAGGACTTGGACAACTGTGGTACCTGTGTTAAGTTTCCTGCATTCAATGCTATTCATGGTGTTTTCACCTTTATGTGCTGAATTCCGACTGATAAATTCCACACGGGGAACAACGGTCTTTGTGCTGCTGCTGTTGTTAGGTGCCATCAGGCAGATCTGACCTGCAGTGACCTTATGCACAGCAGAAGGAAGCATTACCCAGTCCTGTGCCATCCTCACAATTGTTCCGAGGGTATTTGTGAAATGTCTCATCTTGTCATATTACAAAGCATACTCCGGGGTGAAAAAGATGACTTATGTGATGTCTTGATCAAGGTTGTACATCATTAAAGTCATAATATCATATTTACATTGTTTGTGTCTTAATTAATGTTCTTAGATGATCAGTACACTACAAATAACGTAAAACACTATCCTATTTTTCATTAGGTTAGGATAGCAACTGGTTATATACTTAACAAAGGGACAAAAGCCAGTTGCCAGACCTGCCATCTATAGCACCTCTGTGTGGATTCAGATGACCAAACTTTCAGGTAATGGGTGAGCTTGTAACTATTTGCACCCCCCAAGGAACTCCTATAAAGACCCAAAGTGGGTGAAGGAAGACATAGATTGGTGTAAGACATAAAAAAATAATAATAATTTATAAACTACCAAGAGTTCATGAAGAAGAGAGGGTGGCAGAGGGAGGGAAAATAATGAGGAGCCAATAATACCAAGGGCTCAAGTAGAAAGAAACTATTTTGAAAATGATGATGGCAACAAATGTTTAAATGTGCTTGACTCAATGGATGGCTGTATGGATTGAGATAAGAGCTGTACAAGCCCCCAATAAGCTGATTTTTTTAAAAAGAAAAAGAAACTGATGATTGTAGCAATTGTACAATACTGCTTGATGTTATTGAGCTATAGAATCATATATCTGTATTAACTCCCACTAAAATGGTTTTGAAAAATAATGTAAGAAAACAACCCCAATCTTCCCTAAATTAAATTATAAAGCCAGTGGACTTGTGAATAGAAAATTGCACTCATGTTTAAGGGGAAAAGTCAAAAGAAAAGGAGTCTGATTTTCTAACTTCAACTTGGAAGTTAGAAGCAAGGAATATAGGCGAGCTTCTTTCTTAGGATGGGAGCACTGCCCTACCCGGTTGATACTCACCTTCAGAAAGTGATCACTGAAGATAAGGGTGCTACATCAAAGTATAGTGAAGTAAGCAGATGGTGCTAGCAATTGAAATAGTGCCTTTGATCTTAAAGGCTTGTATTCAAACAAACAGCCACCTTGCAATCAAATACAAACTTAAGTTGAAACTGAAGAAAAACAAGTCCAGAAAGCCAAATTATTATCTTTAGTGTATCCCACCTAAATGTAGAGACCATCTCAAATAGATCTACATATTGAATGTTGATTACCTGACCAGATGAGTTGTGGGATGACATCAAGGATGCCATATATGAAGAAAGCTAAAGGTAACTATAAAAACAAGGGAGAGAAAAAAGACCAAACTGGATGTCTTAGGAGACTCTGACTTGCTCTTGAACGTGGAGTGGTGAAAATGAATGGAAGAAATGATGAAGTAAAATGACTGAACCGATTTCAAAGGGTGGCTCAAGTAGGTAAAGTAAACTATGATAGTGACATGTAAAAAGACTTGGAGTTAGAAAATCATAAGGGAAGAATACATTCTGCATTTATCAAGCTGAACAAACAAAACAATCCAGAATTAATAAATCATGCCTCGAGTTGTAATATTGAAGGATTCCAAGGGAAAACATTGAACGATGCAGGCAACATCAAAGGAAGATGAAGAGACCGCACAGTTATTGTACCAAAAATAATTAGTTGACTTCCAAACATTTCAAGTGGCAGCATATGACCAAGAACTAGTGATATTGAAGGAAGATGCCCTGAGGACATGGTTCAAGAACAAAGTTCTAGGAATTGATGGAATACCACTTGAAATGTGTCAACAAACCAATATAATGTTGGAAGTGCTCACTCACTTAACTATATCTAGGAAATTGGAAGAGAGAAAGTTGGCCAAACAACTCTAAGTTCCTATTCCAAAGATAGGTGATCCTACAGTATGTAGAAAATTATTGAAGAATATGATTTCATCACATGCAAGTACATTTTTGCTGAAGGTAATTCTAAGATGGTGGCAGTAGATCCACAGGGAAAAGCTAGAAATTCAAGACAGATTCAGAATGAGAAATATGGTTGCAAATGTCAGAGGGATCTTGGCTGAAAGTAGAGAAGACCAGAAAGACGTTTACCATGGTTTTATACTGATTATGCAAGGACATTTGACTATGTGGAACATAACAAATTCAGGATAACATTGTAAAGAAAAGGAATTCTAGAACTCCTAATTGTGTTTATGTGGAACCTGTGCACAGATCAAAAGACAGTCCTTTGAATAGAACAAGGGAACGGTGCTTCATTTTAAATTAGGGAATATGTGATATGTTGTTCAATCTGTATGCTGAGAAATAATCTGAGAAACTGGACTGTAAGAAGAAGAAGAACTTGGCATCAGGATTAGAGGAAGACTACTAAAAACCTGCGATATGCAGATTATATATTATTGCATTAGGCAAATGAAAAGGATTTGGAGCATTTACTGAAGATGATCAAATGCTACAATCTTCTTATGGATTACACCTTGCGGTAGCTACATAATCTCCTGTCAATTTGAGATTTAAGAGTGAAGGGGTGGAGTTTAGCCTGACAACCAGGTCACAGTTTGATGACCTCATTTGGAAGCACTAAAGAGACAAATAGCTCATTGGAGGCAGGACACATGCTCACACCCCGCGAGACATTACTGACCAGGAGCCTGATGGAGCAACACTGATGCAGCCATAGCTGGAGCTGGAGGAGCCATGTGGAGATGCTTCAACTGCCACTGGATCCACAAGATTGTCCAACCACTGACATGTGATCTTCC